AACACTGTCCATGGAACTTCAATCTCTTGACATAAGCATGTCGTGTTTAGATAGGAGATACAATGAATCAAAAAATCCTATAACAAATCGGGACATTTACATATAAACCACGCAATTCTTATGTATTTACATGTCTAGCTCTCAACATTTATATTTACAAGCATACGACTCAAATGTTCAACATCATGTCAAAAACACCACCATATCTGCATTTTTAAAAGTGAAATACACTTTTTAATGCATGGGTATATGACACAGGTGTTATAAGTATAAATATTAAACTTTGGGAGTTAGATTGTACATTAAGAATTGCGTGGCATCTATGTAAATTTCTCTAACAAATTATATAATTATTGGAATCTCCAATGAATGATCTCTAGACATCAAGCAACCTGCTTTGGCTATAAAATCCACTCCAAACACCGTTAAACTTCACCTTTAACCTTTAAATCTCATGCCATTTGGGAAGAATTCAAACTATAAGTTCATTATGAAAATAAGGTAATAACCAATCTCTTGCCATTTGGACATGACCTAATTATACATATTACTTAGAAGCATGACGGGACATCCTTCCTTCTCTCCACCTTCCATCAAGGCAGGCTCTAATGCAATGAAAGAAATTCTAGATGCTTTATAATCAGGAATCTCTCTTCAATTAAGCAAGGTAGCAATCATTATGAAATCAAATCACAAATTCTGGACAATCTTTTTACCTCCATGAAATTATGTAGTAATGTACAATTAATGCTTATAAATAAGGAGTAAGTTATAATCAAAGTGATAATTATGAAAGAGCCGCCGAAAGCCCTTGCCTCATATATGATTACAAATTGAGTAACAAATTAGCTCTTGAATGATGAGTATGAGCTCATGCTTCCAGAAATGAGACAGAAGAATCATCTCAGTGAAGCTTCATTGAGTTCGGTAAAACCGAGGAGACACTTTATCACATTACTTACGACTAAAAGAGAGATAATGGACTTGAAAAGAACCACAAGATCAACTGTATCCTATCTTCGTTACAGATAATCAAGGATACACATTTTTAATCAGTAAAAACTGCTCCAATATGACCTGGACTGAAATACATATTCGTCAACTGAGAACCCAGTTTCTAATGCTTTTATATGGAATTTAGAAGTCATACTCAGATGACTTAGAAAGGTGTTTTTCAACAAATGCTTTCTTATGAAGTGTAAGTCATCCTCAAAAGAATCAGTAAAATTAAAGCATTTGCTATATTCGAGTGACATCTAACATCATTAATTCTTGTGTAGGAAGAGCATATTGAAATCGAAGAAGAATACAGAAAGGGACTCTGGAGGAATAGATGAAAGCGAAAAGAAGAGGTGCTGAAACAGGGAAACATGATCTTTATCTTTGAAATAGACTAGGTACAGTTTATATAGTAAAATACTAAGCTCAACACAAGGTAAGCTTTACATACAACCAGATAAAATGGAAAAGCATTAAAGGCAGTGGACCCAAATAACTAACTACATTAATCTACTTCTTTAACATACCCCTCAAGCTAATAGTCTCTGCTGGAGAGAGGGTTAGTTTGTGTTTAAGTTTTTGAAATCGCAAAATAGGAAGAGCTTCAGTGAAATTGTCCGCTGTTTGTTCCCCAGATTCCAGATATTGTAAAGTAACTTCATTAGACTCGATCTGATCTCTGATAGTCTATCTCAATGTGCTTGGTTCTGGCATGAAAGATAAGATTATGAACAATTGCCATAGCTGACATGTTATCACAATGAACCATTGTGGGTTCAGAGCTTGAAATACTGAAATCGCAAAGAAGTCTTCGCAACCAAATAACTTCTGTTGCAGCTGAAGAAGATATGACTCTATATTCAGGTTCAGTAGAAGATTGGCTACAGTTGGTTGCTTTCTCACATTCTAAGATAATATGTTAGGTCCAATGAATGTGCAATGTCCAGTAATAGATCTCCTGTCAGTGACATCACAAGCCTAGCTAGCATCAGCATATGTGTGAAGAACAAGAGGACCAGCTTGGAAAGGCAAGACTAAGTCAATTGTT